AATAAAGTGGTACAAATACACTGTATCTACAATTATTTAACTTAGCCTTTCCTTTGAGTATTATATTATAAGAATTTTAATATGTCATTGACATGCCTGTCAATCTTTTCCTTTGTGATTTCATCTGCTACTTCAAACCTTAGAGAATTGTAATCTCTGTGGATTTTTCTTAGTTTCAATCAAGTACAATGTCTCTTCCACACCTCCTTTTCTCATCCTTTCCTTGAACTTTGCTTTAAATATTGTTTGTTTTAGATATACCTCAAGGCAGATTTACTTTTAAGCCTCAATCTCTTGTTTATATCACACATATAAAGGATTCAGACAAGGGGTAATCATATTTTAATTTATGAGGATTTATGAGTAAAGGTTATAGAAATTATGCTTGTTCAACTTTGACATTGAATCAGCTTATTGGTGTGGGTGAGGAGATTGGCAAACTTTAAAAGACTTAAAGTAGATGAAAGGATAGATACTATTCACCAACTGTTCTTCATTTCTGTTAAGAGTTAAAGGAAATGTATATACTAGGGTAAGAACAACTTAGGTTTGAAAATATAGAATTGTTCACAGTTATCAGAATTAATATATTGAGTTCTATTATGAAGAGAGACTGAAAGAAGAATTAAGTTGATCTTGCCTAGATTGCAAAATTACAGACTCTGTAATGATTTTAAATATTTATATAGCATTTTGTAGTTTACAAAACAATTTCCCATAATTATTTCATCTGATTCTCACAGCAGCCATGTGAAGTAGGCATATATCCACTTAAGGATGAGGAAACTGACTTACTGAATTTCCAAGTTACAAAGTTGTACAACTTGCTCTCTTTTAAAAATGTTTTTTATGGGACATAAGGAAGGCCAAGAGACATATGAAAACATGCTCAAAGTCACTAATCATCTGAGAGATGCAAATCAAAATGACAAGGAGGTACCGTCTCACACTGGTCAGAATGGCTATCATCAATGAGTCAGCAGATGACAAGTGCTGGAGAGGATGTGGAGGAAAAGGAACCCTCCTTCACTGCTGGTGGGAATGCAGACTGTGGAGAACAGTATGTAGTTTCTTCAAAAAACTAAAAATGGAACTCCCATCTGACCCAGTAATCCCACTTCTAGGAATATATCCCAAGAAACCAGAAACACCAATCAGAAAGGATATATGCACCCCTATGTTCATAGCAGCACAATTTACAATAGCTAAGATTTGGAATCAGCCTAAGTGCCCATCAGCAGATGAGTGGATTAAAAAACTTTGGCACATCTATGCAATGGAATACTATGCTGTAATAAAAAGGAAGGAACTCCTACCATTCGAAACAGCATGGATGGAGCTGAAGAGCATTATGCTAAGTGAAATAAGTCAGTCAGAGAAAGATAAATATCACATGATCTCACTCATTTGTGGACTATAATGAACAACATAAACTGATGAACAAAAACAGATCCAGAGGCATAGAAGCATTTTTCAGATGCTCAAACCTCAGAGGGAAGGTAGGGGAGGGGGGGGGTAAGGGGAAGAGATCAACCAAAGAACTTGTATGCATGCATATAAGCCTAACCAATGGACACAGACACCAGGGGAGTGAGGGCATGAGTGGGGGGGGGGGGCAATGGGAGGATAAGGACACATATGTAATACCTTAATCAATAAAGAATAAGAATAAGGCCGAAACCGGTTTGGCTCAGTGGATAGAGCGTCGGCCTGCGGACTGAGGGGTCCCAGGTTCGATTCCGGTCAAGGGCATGTACCTGGGTTGCAGGCACATCCCTGGTGGGAGATGTGCGGGAGGCAGCTGATCGATGTTTCTCTCTCATCGATGTTTCTAACTCTCTATCTCTCTCCCTTCCTCTCTGTGAAAAATCAATAAAATATATTTTTAAAAAAAGAATAAGAATAAGAATAAGAATAATAAAAGAATAAAGTGGTAATAAATACATACCTATCAATAATTACTAAAATGTAAATGGGCCGAAACCGGTTTGGCTCAGTGGATAGAGCGTCGGCCTGCGGACTGAAGGGTCCCAGGTTCGATTCCGGTCAAGGGCATGTACCTGGGTTGTGGGCACATCCCCAGTGGGAGATGTGCAGGAGGCAGCTAATCGATGTTTCTCTCTCATCGATGTTTCTAACTCTCTATCTCTCTCCCTTCCTCTCTGTAAAAAATCAATAAAATATATTTTAAAAAAATAAAAATAAAATGTAAATGGGTTATATTCTCCAATCAAATGACATGGATAGGCTGAATGAATAAGAAAAGAAGACCTATATATATGCTGTCTATAGGAGACCTATCTCAGAATGAAAGACTGAAAGTAAGTGGGTAGAAAAAGATATTTCATGCAAACGGAAATGGAAAAAAAAGCTGGGGTAGCAATACCTATATCAGACAAAATAGACTTTAAAACAAAGACTATAAGAGAGAAAGAATGACATTACATAATAAAAGGACCAATCCAACAAGAGGATAAATAACCCTTGTAAATATTTATGTACCCAACATAGAAGCACCTAAATATATAAGGCATATCTTGGACATAAAAGAGAGAGTAACAGTAATACAGTCATAGAAGTATATTGTAACACCCCACTGACCTCAATGAATAAATCTTTCAGGCAGAAAATCAACAAGAAAAAACAGTCTTAAAGGACACACTAGACCATATAAATTCAATTGACCTTTTCAGAGTATTTCACCCCAAAGCTACAGAATATACATTATTTCCAGGTGCACCTAGAACATTTTCTAGAATAGACCTCATGTTAGGACACAAAACAAGTCTCAATAAATTTAAGAAGATTAAAATCATGTAAAGCATTTTCTCCTACCACAATGATATAAAACTAGAAGTCAATTACAAAAAAAAACCCTGAAAAACACACAAACACACGGAGGCTAAATAACATGTTACTAAACAATAAATGGGTTAACATTCATTTCTTTTTTAAAAGAAATAAAAAGATACCTTGAGACAAATGGAAATGAAAAAGCAACAACCCAAAATCTGTGAACCCCAGCAACAGCAGTCCTATGAGGGAAATTCATAGCATGACAGGCCAACCTCAAGAAATAAGAAAATTTACACCTAAGGGAATGATATAACTTTACACCTAAAAGAACTAGAAAGAACGACAAACAAAGCCCAAAGGAAATATAAGAAAATAGTAAAGATAAGAATGGAAATAAATTAAATAGAATCTTAAAAAATTACAAAAGAGCAATGAAAACAAGAGCTGGTTCTTTGAAAAGATAAACTAGATTGATAAACATTTAACCAGACTCATCAAGAAGAAAAAAAGAGAGGTCCCAAATAAATAAGATGATATATGAAAGAGAAGAAGTAAAACGAACACCACATAAATACAAAGGATTATAAGAAAATATTACAAATAACTATATGCCAACAAATTGGACAATAGGGAAGGAATGGACAAACTCCTAGAAACATACAATTTTCCAAAACTGAATCCAGAGTAAACAGAAAATCTAAACAGACCAATTACAACTCACAAAATCGAAGCTGTACTTAAAAAAAACTCCCAACAAACAAAAGTCTTATGGTACATATATATAAAGAAATACTACCCAGTCATCAGAAAAGACATTTACAACAACATGGATGGATCTTGAGAATATCATGACCTCGCTCATATATGGAACCCAATGAACAAAATAAACTGTTGAACAAAATAGATCCAAAGACATAGAAACATGGAATAGACTGTGGTATCTCAGATGGAAGGCGGGGGAGGGTGAGTAGGTGGAAAGAGATCAACCAAAGAACTTGTATACATATATGAATAACCTATGTACACAGACAGTAGGGTGGTTAAGGCCTGGGGTAGGGGTTGGGGGCGAGCTAGAAGAGGTCAATGGTGGGGGGGGTGGTGAAAGAAGGGGCATATTCAATACTTTCAACAATAAAGATATTTTTAAAGATGTAAAATACATGTAGAATTGAAATAAGTGACAATAGCAGCATATGGGTTGGGAAGTTGGCAAGTGCATTATCCAGGTTTTTAAAAAAGTACATAATTTTCCATGACTTGTATTATTTATCCAATCTATAAAAAGCCAGTGGCCAGAAGGAGGGAACGACCAAATGAGCGCTCCCATTAGGTGCATTGAGGGGTCTTACACAATTTCTCGTGCTGAGCCTCTAGTAATAATAATAAAATTTTATGGTGGTGACATGCTTATACATGTGCCAATGAAATGTGAAAGGAAAATCACATCAGATATGAAAACCTGACAGGGAAATGCAGATGTGCCTAGAGGAAAACGCAGAGGGACCAACACAAGGCTTTTTGGGTTTATGGTTTTGGTTTTTTAATATATTTTTATTGATTTCAGAAAGGAAGGGAGAGGAAGAGAGAGTGTTGGAAACATCAATGATGAGAAAGAATCATTGATCAGTGGCCTCCCGCAGGCCCCCTACTGGAGATCAAGCCCGAAACGCGGGCATGTGCCCTTGACTGGAATCAAAGCCTGGACCTTTCAGTCCACAGGCTGATGCTCTATCCACTGAGCCAACCCAGCTAGGGCAAGGCTTTTTGCTTTTTAATGCACCTCTTAAAAAGACGTTTATATAAAAAGTTTTTATGCTCTTTAAAATAAAGCATGTATGTGGGTATATTGTAAATGTTTTAAATAGATTTAAATTTTTAAAATTGTGGTTAGCTTCATTTAAATGTTTTCTAAATGCTTAAGTATTCACAATATGTTGTTTCTTACAAATGCTCACACACTCAATATTTACCAACTATTAAGAATACAACAAAAACTGTTTTTGACTTAGGATTTCTGACTAAAGAATAAACTCATATGTCAATAACACTCATTAAATACCATGACGACGACCAGAAAATTTAAAGATTAACCTTAAAGCAAAAACTGTGAGGAAGAGGGAAATAGAAAGACAACTTTACATATGAACTCACCTCTTTCAATTGTTCTAAATCTGCTTCTTTTTCAGCTGTTCCCTCTGAAGAAATCAGACAAGGAGGTAGGCTGGGACTGAAGGCCATGAGGTCCGTCTTGGGCGGCCCCTCCCCAGAGCACGCCCTCTGCCGCCTCTGCTGTGAGTAAGACCAGCTCCCCACCGCGCTGGAGCACACCAGCACGGGCTTCCCCCGCCCGCACCCGCTCTCGGTGGGGGGGCGCCGAGCACCGCAGAGCTAGGTATAGAATCAGCGTGAGCACCAGCAGGCTGGACACCGCGCAGATGGCGATGATCAGGTACACGTTCACGTCCAACAGCGCCACCTCTGGGCCCGCGACCCCCGCCAACATTCCTGACGAGGCTTTAGGCGCCTGGGCGCTGTCCACCAGCGACAGCAGCACAGTGGCCGTGACCGCCAGCGCCGGCTCGCCATGGTCCTTCACCAGCACCAGCAGGCGCTGGCGCGGAGAGTCCGCCTCGTCCAGGGCGCGCGTCGTGCTGATCTCGCCCGTGTACAGCCCCACGCGGAACGGGCTGCGCGCACCACCCGCCGCCGGCAGCAGCTCATACGACAGCCACGCGTTGTAGCCCGAGTCCCCGTCCACCGCTCGCACCTTCGCCACCACGTGGCCCGCGCCCACAGACCGCGACACCAGTTCAGACAGGGCGCGGCCCTCCCCGCCCGCCCCAGGCGGCAGCAGCGCGGGCGCGTTGTCGTTCTCGTCCAGCACGAACACCCGCAGCGTCACGGTGCTGCCCAGAGGAGGCTCGCCCGCGTCGCGCGCGCTCACCTGGAACTGCAGCAGCTCCAGCTCCTCGTGGTCCAGAGGCTGCAGCGCGGACACCTGGCCGCTCCCCGCGTGCACCGACACGTAGCTCGACAGCGCGCGCTCGCCCACCCGCCGCTCCACCAGCGAGTAGGACACCCGCGCGTTCTCCTGCGCGTCCGAGTCCCGCGCCGACACCGTGAAGATGTGGCGGCCGGGCGGGTTGTTCTCCTTCACGAACACCGTGTACTCGGGCTGCGCGAACACCGGCGCGTTGTCGTTCACGTCGGCCACCTCCACGGACACGCTGGCTGTGGACGACAGAGAAGGCGAGCCCCCGTCCCGCGCTGTCACCACCAACTCGTAGTGTGACACCTTCTCGCGGTCCAGGGCGCTGTCCAGAACCAGTGAATAGTAATTCTTGAATGTGGACACCAGCTTAAAGGGGACATGCGGTGTTAATAAGCAGGTCACCTGCCCGTTAGTGCCAGAGTCACGGTCGGACACGCTGACCAAGGCAATGACGGTGCCCACCTGAGCATCCTCTGGCACCGGGAGTGACAGAGAAGTGATAGCAACTTCTGGAGCGTTATCATTTATGTCTAGTATTTCCACCAAAATGGTACAATGACCCGCCAGGGGAATATTCCCCTGGTCAACTGCCTCAACGGATATTTCATAAAATTTCTCTTCTTCAAAATCCAGCTTACCTTTGGTCCTAATTTCTCCACTGTTGGGATTTATGATAAATGCGTTCAATACTGCAGGCGACACAGGCCTTCTAAATGAGTAGATTATATCTCCATTTATCCCATCATCAGGATCTGTGGCATTTAGCTTGAACACTAATGTTCCATTAAATGCGTTCTCTAAAACTTTCACCTTGTAAATGAATTTGTCAAATTCTGGGGCGTTGTCATTCACATCCAGAACTGTGATCAGCAGCTGAACTGTGCCGGTCAGCTCGGGTTTACCTCCATCAGTGGCTGTCAATAATAACCTATGTTCCTGAATTTCCTCTCTGTCCAATGATTTCCTCAACACAAGTGATAACGAAGACGTTTGTTGACGGTTATGTTGTGTGTCCAAAGCGAAATAATCGCTGGCATCCATTCGGTAGGTCAAAGCGGAGTTTACTCCAACATCTGCATCGGAAGCGCCATCTAGTGGAAACCGAGTTTCCGGAGGTCTAGATTCTGCAATGATTATTCTTTTCTTATTTTCAGGAAACACGGGCGGATTGTCGTTAATGTCCTTCACCTCCACCTCCACGTGGAAAACCTGCAGCGGCCTCTCCACCACCACCTCCAGGTGGATGCTGCACTCCAGGCTCCGCCCGCACAGCTCCTCGCGGTCGATCCGAGAATTCACAAACAAAATGCCATTCTGCAGATTTACCTCCAGGAGGTCCCCGCGGCCTTTGGACGCCACCCGGAACAGGCGGGGCACCAGCTCCGCCAGCTCCAGCCCCAGGTCCTGCGCGATGCGGCCCACGAAGGTGCCGTGCTTGGCTTCCTCGGGGACCGAGTAGTGGACCTGGCCGCTCCCCGCCTTCCAGGCTGCGAGGAGCAAAAGCGAGAACAGCAAACGTCGGGTTCCTGGGCCTCCTCGCCGGGAAAACAGCATGGTACCCTCAAAAGGCTTCAGAAATATCTGAAGGATATAGAATACCTTACCTCAAACGGACTCTCAAGGTCCAATTATACGGCCTTCTATCGTGGGAGAATTCGCTAGAGGTTTTCCACTATATGCCCAATTTTCTGCAGGAGGAGGAAGCGGAGGCGCGTTCTCAGAGGAAACGTTCTCAGTGAAGAGCGACACCATGCGCACGAATGTGTAAGTGTAAAATGATTCTGTCTTCATAGTTCCCATTTTGGTAGGGTATTTTGTTTTTGTTTTTGTTTTACCTTTTGTGAGGTTTTTCACTGCAGATAGGTAACTGTTTTTCTTTCCAAAAGCAGTAAATCACTGTATTCTGCTCAGCATTGGTTGTTCATTGAAAAATGGTTGATGAGTTCCTTTTTTCATAAGTATATTTTTGCATGTGTAAAACTTCCATGCAGAATTTTAAGAGGGGGAGTATTGTACATTGAGTTTTGAAAATCAGCCTCTACTTCTGTGAAGCTTTGTAGGTTTTGGTGAGAATGTTCTTTTCCTGTAATATTTTTTGAGATCTGCTCAACACTACAGCCATGGACTCCAAATGGAAATATAACCAATCCCATAATAAAACGTATGAACATGGAAAATAACCATAAGTAATAAACCAGATTTTAAATAAATACATCATGTTTATAAATTACCCCAAATATGACTGTGAAATGTGACTAAAATATTTGTATTTTAAGTAAGTGTCCAGTGTGTGTAGGCGTTTACATGTGAATGTGTATGTGTGCATAAACACAACATTTTAGGCCATTTAGATATAACAATGCTTTAAAGTTCTGGATTCTCTTTGTATAAAACATGCCAATAATTAGCATGCCAAGAATTATGTATTTGGCAGAATATAAATTACTTATCAATAGGTTAAACCTCCCTTCCCCATCTTACACCATCACTGGAGGAAATCTTACTATCATTTAAATTGACTGATTTTCCAAGCAACAACAGGTTGACACAGATGTTAACAAAAGGAAGAGAGGAAGGGAATATTACCTTAACCTATTGCTATAACTAACATTACCAGGCCCCAAGTTCCAGGCCAAGTAGTGCTATGAAAAATATGGAATAGCTCCAATAATTCTCTTGCCTGTTCTGTGCAAACTGCAGGAAATAATAGTTGAGATCATTTCTGTATTTTTGTTCCACTCTGAAAACTTGAGTAATGTATTTGGTATTCTCTTATCTTCATCTTTATCTTCCTCTCCTGCTCCCTGACTTTTATTAACATAGCTTTATTGTTTTAAGATATTTTTTTATTGAGTTTTAGAGAGAGGGGGAGAAGGAGAAACATCAATCGGATGCCTCCTGGATGCCCCCTACCAGCGATCAAACCAGCAACCAGGGCATGTGCCATGACTAGGCATTGGACCAGCAAGCTTTTGGGTGCATGAGATGATGCCCAGTCAACTGAGCCACACTGGCCAGGGCAACATAGCTTTTCTCTTACAATGAGAATAACCCCTTGATTCTTTCTAATTGTTCTTGTTTATCAGGCCCTAACTTGTCTCACTTACCTTTCTACCTAAGCTAGATTCCATAGTCAATCATTTAAAACATACCCTTCCAGACACTCACCTACTTATACTATTACACCTCTAATATTTTCTCTTTTTTTCACTTCATTCATTTACTTTATCCTTTAGATAATAATGAATGAAACAGTAAAACCACATGCAGAATAAAAAAACACATTTATTATTAAGCCCAATGTCCATTCCTAATACTTCTTTTTCTGTATATTTTAACATACCAATAAAATGATTTGCTAATATCAATTACAATAAATTAGTAGCAAGATAATTTCGAGTCCGTGTTTTTTGTTTTTATAGGATAAATACAAAAATTATTTAATCAACTCTAATGTTTTCTTTAGCTTCCAGCACACAGCCTAACTACCCATTTTCTTCATATCAAGCTTCTCAGTATAAGATAGTCATTTAGTCATGAGACTTTATTCTCTATAGGTTTACTCTCACTTTTACTTCAATTGGGCCCTCAGATGAGTGCATAATTAACTATTCCCAGACGCCTACAAAGATTCCTCCATATTCTTTTCCCTCTTGTCTCAAATTCTCAACCTCTTTCCCACCAACTGGTTCTCAGATGATTTACCCAAAGTAATAAGTCATCAATATGAACTCAATGTCTCTCTTCTTATATCAACACTAGAGGCCCAGTGCACGAAATTTGTGCACGGCAGGGGGGGGGTGCCTCAGCCCAGCCTGCACCCTCTCCAATCTGGGACCCCTTGGGGAATGTCTGACTGCTGGTTTAGGCCCAATCGGGATCGGGCCTAAACTGGCAGTCAGACATCCCTCTCACAATCCAGGACTGCTGGCTCCTAACCACTTGCCTGCCTGGCTACCTGATTGCCTGCCTGGCTACCTAACCGCTTCTGCCTGCCAGCCTGATTGCCCCTTAACTGCTCCCTTGATGGCTTGATTGATGCCTAACTGCTCCCCTGCTGGCCTGATCACCCCCAACTGCTTTCCCCTGCTGGCCCAATCACCCCCAACTGCCCTCCCCTGCTGGCCTGTTTGCCCCCAACTTCCCTCCACTGCTGGCCTGGTCATCCCCAACTGCCCCCTCCCCTGCTGGCCTGATCACCCACACTGCCCTCTCCTGCCGGCCATCTTGTGGTGGCCATCTTGTGATGACGTCGCATGTGGCAACACCTAGGCTTTTATTATATAGGATAGTTTCATAAACGATATGATGTTTTAATCACTTTTGAGTCGAACTCTCTTATATTTTAATCTGGTTGCCTACTTTGAAATAAAGAATGTTTTTAGCCCATTCATACTGAGGTTCAAAGGGTCATGACCAGAGGTCCAAGAATGGGTTTCAGCATGGGTCCTGCAATATTATGCCAAATGGTATGCTGTGTAATTGTAAGGGGAGAATGGCCACATGTGACTTTTGTTGGATTCCCAAAGAGGTCAATGATTCCATCACCCTGCATGTAGCTAAGAACCAGTGAATTAGAAAAATGACCTAGCAATAAATGATCTTTGCTAGAAACTTCACGTGTGATACCAAATGGAAAGATAATTTCACAGACATTAGAAATAAAGCATTAAAAGATAGAAAATGTAAAAGGTGATATGGATGAAACTGGTCATTGTTAACAGGCTTCATGTTATCACAGTTAACTTTTTCCTTCCTAGATAAATCTTTAAAAAAACAAAAAACAGGAAAATTGCCAACTAGAATGTTTTGCAGATATTATAAGCCTATACACATGCCTTTAGCAAATTTGAATGACTTGATTGCGTAATATAAATAACCTTATTTGCCTAGTTTACTTGGAAGCAAAAATCTAGGAGTTCTGGTTGAGTATCCTATATAATAAGAGAAACATGTAAATTGACCATCCCTCCACTATGCTCACCAGCCAATCAGGAGTGAGTATGCAAATTAACCTGACAAAGTTGGCAGGTTGATTTGCATGTGCAGGTGTCAAGTGCCCCAGGAGGCAATGGCGGCTGCTGGCTCCTGGGACCTTCGCAGGCCCTGGGAGGCGAGGCCAGCCATGCCTAGCCACTCCTGCGGACTCCCAGGACCTTTGCCAGCAGAGAGCAGAGCAGGAGAGTGGGCGGAGAGCGGGAGGTTTGGAGGACTTGGCAGAGCAGGAGGCTGCTGGACATAGAGCAGAGCAAGAGAGAGGGTGGCTTGGAGGGTGTGGCTCCCTCTGTCACCCCAGCTTCCTCATCACAGCTGTGGAAACTAACAGCAGGGAGGAGGAAGTCCCACCCCCACAGAATCAGCCAGAATCAGCCATTGGTCAGACAGCTCTCAGCGGCCTGACAGCAAGGACTCTCATTCACCTGCATCTCAGACAGTGACAGTAGAGAGGTGGGACTATGTCTAAAGAACAACTGTTGATACAACATAGTTCCGCAGCCAAAAGATGCTGGTGTTATCAACAGAAAATGTCTGAAGAGCAAAGTGCGTCTGATCTTGAAAGAAGGCAGCGCCTGTGACAGAATGTATCTGAAGACCAGCTACTGGAAACATGTCGCTCTGATGCCAAAAAACACCAGCGTCATCGACAGAAAATGTCTAAAGACCAATGTGCCTTTGAAGTTGAAAGAAGTGGTAGCGATGACAGAATATGTCTAGAGAATAGTCATCAACAAGTACTACCAATACTGGTAGGAACTGCCTTCTCAGCAAAAATGGAGTACATGAGGATGCAATTCTCGAACATAGTTGTGGTGGAATGACTGTTAGATGTGAATTTTGCCTATCACTAAATTTCTCTGATGAAAAACCATCCAATGGGAAATTTACTTGATGTTGTAGCAAAGGGAAAGTCTGTCCAAATGATATACATTTTCCAGATTACCCAGCATATTTAAAAAGATTAATGACAAACGAAGATTCTGACAGTAAAAAATTTATGGAAAATATTTGTTCCATAAATAGTTCTTTTGCTTTTGCTTCCATGGGTGCAAATATTGCATCGCCATCAGGATATGGGCCGTACTGTTTTAGAATACATGGACAAGTTTATCACCGTACTGGAACTTTACATCCTTCGGATGGTGTTTTTCAGAAGTTTGCTCAACTCTATATTTTGGATACAGCCAAAGCTACAAGTAAAAGGTTAGCAATGCCAGAAAACCAGGGCTGCTCAGAGACTCATAATCAACATCAACAACCTTATGGATGAAATAAATGAATTAACAAAATCGTACAAGATGCTACATGAGGTAGAAAAGGAAGCCCAATCTGAAGCAGCAGCAAAAGATATTGCTCCACAGAAGTAACAATGGCAATTAAATAGGATCATAACAGTGACCCAGGTAGATATAATTCTCCCCATGTAACCGAGGTTGCTGTCATATTCAGAAACAAAGATGGAGAACCTCCTTTTGAAAGGGACTTGCTCATACATTGTAAACCAGATCCCAATAATCCAAATGCCACTAAAATGAAACAAATCAATATCCTGTTTCCTACATTAGATGCAATGACATATCCTATTCTTTTTCCACATGGTGAACAAGGCTGGGGAACAGATATTGCATTAAGACTCAGAGACAACAGTGTAATCAACAATAATACTAGACAAAATGTAAGGACATGAGTCACACAAATGCAGTATTATGGATTTCATCTCTCTGTGCGGGACACGTTCAATCCTATTTTAAATCCAGGAAAATTAACTCAACAGTTTATAGTGGATTCATATTTAAAAATGGAGGCCAATCGGATAAATTTCATTAAAGCAAACCAATCTAAGTTGAGAGTTGAAAAATATAGTGGTTTGATAGATTATCTCAAATCTAGATCTGAAAATGACAATGTGCCGATTGGTAAAATGATAATACTTCCATCCTCTTTGAGGGTAGTCCCAGAAATATGCAGTAGCGATATCAGGATGCTATGGCAATTGTAATGAAGTATGGAGAGCCCAATTTATTCATAACCATGACATGCAACCCCAAATGGGCAGATATTGCAAACAATTTACAACACTGGCAAAAAGTTGAAAACAGACCTGACTTGGTAGCCAGAGTTTTTAATATGAAGCTGAATGCTCTTTTAAATGATATCTGATCGCTTCTCAGCCTTTTGGCTAAGATCAAGTGTAGTATCTGTTCTTATCAGTTTAAATGATATCTGTAAATGCCATTTACTTGGCAAAATAATAGCTAAAATTCATGTCATTGAATTTCAGAAACACGGACTGCCTCACACTCACATATTATTGATATTAGATAGTGAGTTCAAATTATCTTCCTCTAATTAATTCCCTTTCAATGTGCACGAATTTTGTGCACCAGGCCACTAGTATAATAAATAAATCTCTACCCATTTCACAGAACAAAATAAAAAAGAACAGAACTTTCAATTATATTATTTCAATGAAAGAAGCATACTAGAATGCAAGACTGCATTTTTAATGCAAATAATATTAAAGCAAGTTTTATCTTATCTGTAGTAAAAGTTAATGATTTTCTAATGAGCAATAAATGTATGATGAATGTTTAACACCGCAGAAAAAGAAAGGTAAATTCTTTCAATCCTAATAGAGTGTTCTGTCATTGATATGAGCCTGAAGTGAGAAAAGTCAAGTGATCTAATAAGATGAAAATATCAAGGCAAAAGGCTGTTAAAAGACAAAGAGAATGAGAATCCATAGTGATTATCTACATTACTGCGGATTAGAGATACAATAGTTACCTGAGTAGATCAATGATAATTAGAAATATTTCTAATAAAGTGATAATGGGAAAGTCAATCTTATATTTTCTAACAAAACATTAGAAGAAATAGGACACTTAATGGCTAAAAAACTGAATTCTTCATATGATCCCAATTGCATTGCCCTGGCTGGTGTGGCTCAGTAAGTTAGAGTGTCATCCCAAAAGGTGGTGGGTTTGATTCTCAGTCAGGGCACATACACAGGGTTCCTTTTGATTCCTGGTTGGAGGAATTTGGGAGAAAGTTGACCAAAGTTCCTCTCTCTCTCTCTCTCTCTCTCTCTCTCTCTTTCTCTCTCTCGTTCCTCTCTGTAAAACTCAATTAAAAGTTTTGAGTCACATTGATTTTTTAATTGTATCATGGCATTTCACTAACATTGTTCTTTAAAAGAATATTCAAAATACACAATATTCATTTAAATTGTCAATGAAATAAACTGGATTTTCTAAAAATTAACTTAGCCCTAGCTGTTTTGGATCAGTGGATAGAACTTCAGCCTGCAGACTTAAGGGTCCCGGTTTCAATTCAGGTCAAGGGCACATGCCCAGTGGGGGTGGGGGCGTGCAGGAGGCAGCCAATCAACGGTTCTCTCTCAACATTGATTTTTCTATCTCTCCCTCTGCCTTCCTCTCTGAAATCAATAAAAATGTTTTTTAAAATAAAATAAATTAAAATTTTAACTTAGACTTCAAAAGAGAGAGAACTTATAGCACTCACCTGCTCAAAATGATTTGACCCGGTCTCCTGCCTTTCCCCTCCATCTTCTTTATGCGGACCTGGAGGAAGACTGGGACTGAAGGCCATGAGGTCTGCCTTGGGCGGCCCCTCCCCAGAGCACACCCTCTGTCGCTTCTGCTGTGAGTAAGACCAGCTGCCCACCGCGCTGGAGCACACCAGCACGGGCTTCCCCGGGCCACATGCGCCCTCATTGGGCGGCGCCGAGCACCGCAGAGCCAGGTACAGAATCAGCGTGAGCACCAACAGGCTGGACACCGCGCAGATGGCGATGATCAGGTACACGTTCACGTCCAACAGCGCCACCTCTGGGCCTGTGACCCCCGCCGACATTCGCGACGAGGCCTTAGGCGCCTGACCGCTGTCCACCAGCGACAGCAGCACAGTGGCCGTGACCGCCAGCGCCGGCTCGCCATGGTCCTTCACCAGCACCAGCAGCCGCTGGCGCGGAGAGTCCGCCTCGTCCAGGGCGCGCGTCGTGCTGACCTCGCCCGTGTACAGCCCCACGCGGAACGGGCTGCGCGCACCACCCGCCGCCGGCAGCAGCTCATACGACAGCCACGCGTTGTAGCCCGAGTCCGCGTCCACCGCGCGCACCTTCGCCACCACGTGGCCCGCGCCCACCGACCGCGACACCAGCTCGCTCACAGCACCTCCCGGGCCGCCTGGAGCCGGAGGCAGCAGCGCGGGCGCGTTGTCGTTCTCGTCCAGCACGAACACCCGCAGCGTCACGGTGCTGCCCAGAGGAGGCTCGCCCGCGTCGCGCGCGCTCACCTGGAACTGCAGCAGCTCCAGCTCCTCGTGGTCCAGAGGCTGCAGCGCGGACACCTGGCCGCTCTCCGCGTGCACCGACAGGTAGCTCGACAGCGCGCGCTCGCCCACCCGCCGCTCCACCAGCGAGTAGGACACCCGCGCGTTCTCCTGCGCGTCCGAGTCCCGCGCCGACACCGTGAAGATGTGGCGGCCGGGCGGGTTGTTCTCCTTCACGAACACCGTGTACTCGGGCTGCGCGAACAGCGGCGCGTTGTCGTTCACGTCGGCCACCTCCACCGACAAGCTGGCTGTGGACGACAGCGAAGGCGAACCCTGGTCCCGCGCTGTCACCACCAACTCGTAGTGTGACACCTTCTCGCGGTCCAGGGCGCTGTCCAGCACTAGTGAGTAGTAGTTCTTGAACGTGGAAATGATCTTGAAGGGAACTTCGGGCGTTAGAGAACAGATCACCTGTCCGTTCGCACCAGAATCGCGGTCTGATACACTAATTAACGCAATGACAGTACTAGGCTGAGTGGCCTCTGGTACTGGGAGAGACAGGGAAGTCACGGTGATTTCAGGCGCATTATCATTGGCATCTAAGATTTCTATCCAGACTGTACAGTGACCTGCCATTGGAGGATTTCCCTTATCTGTGGCCTGTACTTCAATTTCATAAAATTTGTTTTTTTCATAATCTAAAGTTCCATTGACCCTCACCTCTCCACTATTTTTACCTATTGTGAATAAGGGTTTTCCATCGGGCTTAACGGACAACAAGGAGTATGTGACCTCCCCATTGACTCCTTCATCTAGATCTGTAGCGTTCAATTTTATCACAAACGTTTCTCTAGCTGCGTTTTCCATTAATCTCACCTTGTATTCTGGTTGCTCAAATTCTGGATCATTGTCGTTAGTATCCAAGATGCAGATGAAAAGCTGAGCCGTGCCCGTTAGCTCCGGCTTTCCCTGGTCTGCAGCCGTCAGTAGCAAACTAATTTCCGGAGTTTTCTCCCTATCCAGAGACTTCTTTAATGTAAGTGACAGTCTATTAGTCTGCTTACTATTTCTTGGTAATTCTAAAGAAAAATATTCATTTTGACTTAGCCTGTAAGTCAATAGAGCATTCTCTCCTATATCCGCATCAGAGGCGCCCTCTAGAGGAAAATGGGAGTCAGGTGGCTTCGATTCCGGAATCAGCAGCTTTTGTTCTCTGAGAGAGAACACCGGCGGGTTGTCGTTAATGTCTTTCACCTCCACCTCCACATGGAAGACCTGCAGCGGCCTCTCCACCACCACCTCCAGGTGGATGCTGCACTCCAAGCTCCGCCCGCACAGCTCCTCGCGGTCGATCCGAGAATTCACAAACAAAATGCCATTCTGCAGATTTACCTCCAGAAGGTCCCCGCGGCCTTTGGACGCCACCCGGAACAGGCGCGGCACCAGCTCCGCCAGCTCCAGCCCCAGGTCCTGCGCGATGCGGCCCACGAAGGTGCCGTGCTTGGCCTCCTCGGGGACCGAGTAGTGGACCTGGCCGCTCCCAGCCTCCCAGAGCGCGAATAGCAGAAGCGACAGCAGCAGTTGCTGAGTGTCCAATCCCCCTCTTTGAACCCCAAACATTGCACACGACATTAACTTGCAAAAAATGATTCTTTACACTTACAGTACCAGAGACTCCAGTTTCGGGTTTAAAATCTCGCTGAATTTTTTAGAAGCTTCATAGGATCCGTTAACAGTAGCGACCGGCTTGATGGAGTCGTTTTATATGGGGAGTTCCTGGATGGTCAGACCAACCCTTGAATGAACTATTTTCATCAAGTAAAGAGCGACACCTTGTGCCTGAAATTGTGAGTATTGTGCACTACACCCAATATCACAGAATTTTACTTAAAGAAAAAAAATAATTAATTTCTCATGTTTCCTGATATTTTAACACCAAGGTATTATTTTCAACGTACTTATTTATGGAATATTCAGATTTTAAGCCATATTAAAATTGATGGTAGGTGGGAAATGGCATTTTAGTGTTGACTAACATCAAATTTAAATTCTTGTTCCTACGTTTGATTTAAAGTTATAAAATTATTCTTTTACTCATCTACATATATACAGAGAGATCAATTCTAAGAATAACTTTATAAAACTATGGTTAATCACTTCCTATGGGTATTGTTCCTCATACAAATATTATCAAATTTGAATTGTTTTACTTCTAGTCTCCCTTGTTACTTTGACTGCTAGGAAACTCAAGGACAAAATTAAAGTTTTAATAAAAACTATGTATTCTTAAATCCTGCATATTGTGTTCCCACCTATGTGCACTTGCCTTCTACTTATATTTTCCTTAGCTCTAATACATTTGTGATCTTCTATAAGTTTTATTTTATTTTATTGTTGACAGTATTACATTTAATTGTAAACTTATTGTAAACACCTTTATAGCTATTGAAGAACAATAAAAACAAAAATATTTTTCCAAATTTGGCAGTTTAAAACATAGAATTCACAAGGGAGACATTTATTGATGTAAATTAAATTTATATTTCATGTAAATTTTATATGATCATGTAAGTTGCAATGCTCACAGTATAATATGAGGTATGACAATAGTGACACAATTAGTGTCAATGATATGACAGAAGTCATCTTTTCAATGATGAATTTCATTATCATTCAATGAAATAAATAAAAACCACCATGAAAATGTCTATATCATATTGGTATTTCTAAGTTATCTATATTTTTGTATATCTAGTTAAGATCTATTCATGAAAACAGCTGACCTGCATCTTGTTAAAAGAATTTTGGGTTTAAGATCATAATTTTATCCAAAACAAAATAAATGACATCTAATTGTATCTCCTTTATGTGCCTAAAAGTGCACTAAAAAATAAGCAATCTAACCAAATGGCAAATAACTTCTGCAATGGATGCAGAAGTGTAGAAAGTGATTCAGAATATATACACTGTAGCTTAAGTATTTTGTTGTATAGTTTTTTGATGGTTCATCTCCAATCTAAAAATATTGTGATGAGTGCTCGCTTTGGCAGCACATATACTAAAATTGGAACAATACAGAGAAAATTAGCATGGCCCCTGCACAAGGATGACATGCAAATTCGTGAAGCATTCCATATTTTAAAAATAAAATAAAATAAAATAAAAATATTGCAATGACATATGAAGAAATCACAAGCATATTTATTATGTGTTAATATTTTTCTCTTCCTTGAATATACACACATGTGTATAAGCACAGAGTGAGGCAAAAGTAAGTTTATAGTTGTTTATATAAAAATAATACAATAATTAATAAATAATACAAGAATAAACTCTGTGTTTTGCATACTTAACAACTGTAAACCTACTTTTGCCCCACCCTGTATTATTCTGAAATTTCCAATTTCAGATCTTGTTCCACTTTTTTCAAGTTTACTCTTTTCCTGATATTATCATTCTGCTAGAACTCTTATAAAGTAAATGCAAATTCTTTCTTTAAAAACTAATAAAGCATATTCTCCATCTTTTATGACACTGAATTATGTTATACATCTGTAAAAGAGTCATATGGGCCTCTAATCAAAATATAACATTACACTAGATAACAGTAGATTTAACATGATATTTGAAGCCTGTCAGATTTATTTTGGAGAAAACGGAAGCAACAGATATTCAACCACTTCATTATGAAAATTGGAATTGAGAAGTGACATGCAATGTAGAGTCTTCAAAAATAGATAGAGATATGGAGAAAGTTTACCCAAGGGTGATGATGATATTACATATCTGAATTAAAATGAGAATTTAAGAATTACTAACAGATGCACCAAGTTGGAATTTTCCTAGAATATAAGTATGGACAGATATCATTCTGTGATGTGACAAAGAGACTCCTCACTTATAATTTCTCAAAGGAGCTCTCAGACCTATATTTTCTCTTTGTTTCCCAAATGAAGATACAAATTCAGACTCTCTTAGCATCTGCCTCCATGATGTTTTCTTCGTGTAATGTTGCTGTAGTCCTCAACCTTCCTTGGTGTGAAATCTAAAACCACAAGATACTCGAAAGTCTAGGGCATGACTTTGTAAAAGAATTTATATATATTAAGTAATCTAATGAAAGATTTCTTGTGCTTGAAAAAAATAATTACTTTTCAGTAATGTGGTATTTTGTGAGTATATGAAGTGAAACTGGACAAACACCAAATCATAAAAGAATTTTATATATTGTATGAACCAATGACTCATCTTTTGCATTTTGGCTGTGATATTTCAGTTATCACCATCTCAACTAGCCCCTTTAGAAGAGATTATGCTACTGTTGAACTCACCTTTGGGGATTGGCCTGGGATCTGGCAATAGACTAATGCCAAGAAGTCACATCAATATCATTGATAAATTGATTTTGTAAAATCATTGAAAAGACTGAGGAACTTTGTGCCTGACCCTTACTGAACCAATCTGGTTAGTCTTAAATTCCAACTGGATGCCCTGCTAGTCATGTATTAGAGTGCATGGTTTAACGTTCTACTAGTCCTCATCATCCACTAATATTTTATAATAAGTCTAGTATTATTACTTATTGAAAACATAGACAAATAAATCTTGAAGTAATTCTTAGAAACCCAGGAGGTTCTTGAAAATCAATAGGTTAGAAGTACTATTCAAAATTGTATTAGCAAAATTATAGGATATACTCAGTGATGTTCACTCTGCCTATCATGGCTTATTCAAGTATATACAGTTCTTTGATGACAGATTATTTGTTCAGGTGGCACAAATCTCTCAGACAACAATAAGACTGAAGAAGAATGAAACCTGAAAGACCTTAATACATTCCAAAATTTCCACAGGCAATATATACCATTAAAGCTGTATTGAATTTTGGAAACATTTATTGAATCCTTGTTTATGTTCTGGATCCCAGAAATAATCATATCACCACTTATATTTGTCCAAAACATTACCCTTATTCGCAGTGTTAAAAGGACAAGGTCATTTTCAGATGTGTCAATTGGCTTTAGCGTTCTGCAAGAACATTGCAAACCACAGTCTTCTGATTTTTCTCATATATTAAATGACTCTTATTTATATCCCTTCCAAACAACTGACCCATAGTCTTCATAAGACAATTCTTCATTATTTACCAATTGAATAATATAAATACCTATTTTAATGTAATATTAATGAACACAAATGATAATGATGATCATGAACTCCTCTAAGAAAAAAATCATTTAACATAAGAATCTTAATTCCTATGGCATTGTACAAAATTAATCATGAAGATAATTGTGAATGGGTTTCTTTTCTAAGCAAAACAGAGGAGGATTCACCTGTATACAGCTATGCTGATTTTCCTAGCCGGAACTATGCCTGATCAGAGAAAAATTTACTGCAGAAAGATCTACAGTGAATAAAAGAATAGGTCTGGAATCTAAAAGATTTGCATTTGAATATCATCTTTATCAAGTACTAGCTGGATGGCAGTGGACAAGATAGATATCTCACCACTTCTTATATCATTTTTAAAATTCAGATAGTCACATGTAATTGACATGCTGTTACAGGAAATAAATGAAATTATGCATTTTAAGCCCTTCATATTCATATCATGTCTAACAAATGAAATAGCTCACATCGTGGTGGTATATTGTAGTCAGTGGCCAATGTTTGCTCTTATTCTATTCTATAGCTAAGGATAAAGACAATCCCAGTACAGTAACTAGGGCATGGTTTTTCCTTTTCTGAAATAATCCTACTTTTTAGGCAGAAAATGACCACTAATGCCTTCTCAGCATTTCTATTAACTTCACCCTATCTATTACAACATGGTCTCCTCCCACATGTCAATTAGCATAAACAATTTATTTCTCCAACAATCCAATGAAAGTATCTCTAATTTGTATTCAGGAGTCAAAAACAGCACAAAAAACCTTCCACATTATTTAATTCACAACTTTACAGCTCAAAATAAAAGTTCTCTGTGATCTTTTTGAAGAAAATTCCCATGAATATAGCTTTGTGACCAAGAAGGTGTTTGCATCAAATGTATCTAAAGTACACAATGTTAAATTCTGAAATGCCATCAACAACACCATTGTCAAGTACTAGTGCTAAGTGGGCATGTCAAGTGGAAGTTCCACAATTGTTATGCTTAAGTTATTTAAAGACATGTTATTTTGAGGACCAAGTGGCTTGGGGAACACAGGCAGCAGAATCCACAGTACACCATGCATGGGAAGGCTCTCTCAACCTCAAAGCATAAAGAAGTGTGACTTTTCCTACCCTAAAATACTTCCACACAGTTTCACGGCAGGTGCCATGAATGGAAGAACGTATAATAAATGCTCAAAAAAAATCTTCCAAATACAATAGAGGCGCTTAATGAATTAATCAGGAGGAGAACAGCAATGGGTTCAACAGGCAATTAGCAAACTGGCCTTATATTAGGAAATAAAGGGAAAATGTCTAAAGCAGCTGAAGACTATGAAGAAAATGAGCTTGAAATCATAGGGGCATTAAAGACAGAGAAGTAAAATCATGCCCAAAGTCAAGGAGAAACTCCACCCACTATTTCAAAGAAGCACACCATTGATTATAAAGAAACAAAATGGAAAGAAGGATCTTTTACCCTTTGAGACAGCATGGAGGGACCTGGAGAGTATTATGCTAAGCAAAATAAGCCAGTCAGAGAAAGACAAGTATCACATGATCTCACTCATATGTGGAATCTAATGAACAAAATAAACTGTTGAATAAAATAGATCCAGAGACACAGAAGCATGGCACAGACTGTGAAGCCTCAGAGGGAAGGTGTGGGAGGGTGGATTGGTGAGAAGAGATCAACCAAAGAACTTGTATGCACATATGCATAACCCATGGGCACAGACGGTGGTGGAGGCCTGGGGCAGTGGGCAGGGGAGGGCTATAAGTGGTCATTGGGAGAAAAAAAGGGACATATGTAATACTTTCAACAATAAAGATTTTTTTAAAGGAAAAAATGCTTTATAAAATGAGGCCACCTCGCCAGGCCATACCCATTAATAGATGAATTTATGGATTATAGTAAGGTAAAAATTTAAACATGTTTGAACTCAAATTAACTAAATTATAAAGTTATGCATTATTATGGCGATGCATAAGCATAATAAGTGGAGGCCACCACTTAGAATTTTAAAAAATGGGTAGGAAGAATGAACTTGCTGCAAAATTGAGAAGTAGAAGATTAGAGCCTTGCCCATGCCCTTCATTTCTTATCAGTGAACCTTGCCTCTTTCCAGACTGAAACTTATGCATTCACAGGAAGCTTTAGCCACCTATTTCATTTTTGTTATTGCTGAGTGGAAGTGTGTTCATGAAGACTGTAGGGAAAAGTAATAAAAATGGCTGGACTTCCTGTTTGCTTTAAAATAAGCCATCGCAAGAGAAAGGACAAAACAAATAAATTAAATATTGGTGAACTACTATGTTGACATTAACGGCCATGAAATACATCCCAGAATTACTGTACTTACATTCCCGCAAATCTCCTGCAGTTCTCCGTTATCTCTAGAACCAGGAGGTACACTCGGACTGAAGGCCATGAGGTCCGTCTTGGGCGGCCCCTCCCCAGAGCACGCCCTCTGCGGCTTCTGCTGCGAAAACGACCAGCTGCCCACCGCGCTGGAGCACACCAGCACGGGCTTCCCCGGCCCGCACCAGCCCTCGGTGGGCGGCGCCGAGCACCGCAGCGCTATGTAGAGCAACAGTGTGAGCACCAGCAGGCTGGACACCGCGCAGATGGCGATGATCAGATACACGTTCACATCCACCAGCGCCGTCCCTGAGCCCTGGGCACCCAAAGAAGCTCGCGAAGAGGCCTTAGGCGCCTGACCGCTATCCTCCAGCGACAGCAGCACGGTGGCGGTGACCGCCAGCGCCGGCTCGCCATGGTCCTTCACCAGCACCAGCAGGCGCTGCCGCGGAGAGTCCGCCTCGTCCAGGGCGCGCGTCGTGCTGACCTCGCCCGTGTACAGCCCCACGCGGAACGGGCTGCGCGCACCACCCGCCGCCGGCAGCAGCTCATACGACAGCCACGCGTTGTAGCCCGAGTCCGCGTCCACCGCGCGCACCTTCGCCACCACGTGGCCCGCGCCCACCGACCGCGACACCAGCTCGCTCACAGCACCGCCCGGGCCGCCGGGAGCCGGAGGCAGCAGCGCGGGCGCGTTGTCGTTCTCGTCCAGCACGAACACTCGCAGCGTCACGGTGCTGCCCAGAGGAGGCTCGCCCGCGTCGCGCGCGCTCACCTGGAACTGCAGCAGCTCCAGCTCCTCGTGGTCCAGAGGCTGCAGCGCGGACACCTGGCCGCTCTCCGCGTGCACCGACACGTAGCTCGACAGCGCGCGCTCGCCCACCCGCCGCTCCACCAGCGAGTAGGACACCCGCGCGTTCTCCTGCGCGTCCGAGTCCCGCGCCGACACCGTGAAGATGTGGCGGCCGGGCGGGTTGTTCTCCTTCACGAACACCGTGTACTCGGGCTGCGCGAACAGCGGCGCGTTGTCGTTCACGTCGGCCACCTCCACGGACACGCTGGCGGTGGCCGACAACGACGGCGAGCCCCCGTCCCGCGCTGTCACAACTACAATGTAGTTCGCCACTCTCTCGCGGTCCAGGGCGCTGTCCAGCACCAGCGAATAGTAATTCTTGAAGGTGGGCATCAGCTTGAAGGGGGATTGGGGTGTTAACGAGCAGGTCACTTGCCCGTTGACACCGGCATCATGGTCGGTTACACTAATCAAGGCGATGACGGTCCCCAGTAGAGCGTCCTCAGGAACAGGAAGTGAGAGTGAAGTCACTAGCAACTCCGGAGCATTATCATTGATGTCCACGACTTCTACCAAGATGGTGCAGTGACCAAACATTGGGGGGCTTCCATTATCAACTGCTTCTATTTGCAGTTTCCATAATTGAGTTCCTTCAAAATCTATTTTTCCATTTACTTTTATTTCTCCGGTGACTGGTTCTATGCAAAAAGTTGTTGCTGTATCCGGGGAGACATCAGCTGCAAAGGAGTAAAGAATGTGGCTATTTGAAGCCTCGTCCAAATCCGAGGCGTTAAGCCTAAGAACCAGCGTGCCGTTCCTTGTATTTTCCAGTAGCTTCACCCGATGGACTGCTTTGTCAAATACTGGGGCGTTGTCGTTTGCATCCAGCACTGTGATCTGTACTTCTGCAGTACCTGTCCGCTCAGGTTTGCCCCCGTCTGTTGCTTTAAGCACCAAGAGGAGCTCCGAAGCGACTTCCCTGTCTAAAGGTTTTTTCAGTACCAGTTGAAGCGGTTTTACCTGGTCGTCGTTGGTCGGTACTTCCAGAGAGAAGTATTCATTGGGGCTCAGTCTGTAAGTCAGCAGAGCGTTGACCCCGATATCTGCATCCGAGGCGCCCTCTAGCGAAAAATGAGAGTCAAGAGCCCTAGCTTCGGAAATAAATAGATTCTTGTGTGTCGCTGGGAACACAGGCGGGTTGTCGTTAATGTCCTTCACCTCCACCTCCACGTGGAAAACCTGCAGCGGCCGCTCCACCACCACCTCCAGGTGGATGCTGCACTCCAGGCTCCGCCCGCACAGCTCCTCGCGGTCGATCCGAGAATTCACAAACAAAATGCCATTCTGCAGATTTACCTCCAGAAGGTCCCCGCGGCCCTTGGACGCCACCCGGAACAGGCGGGGCACCAGCTCCGCCAGCTCCAGCCCCAGGTCCTGCGCGATGCGGCCCACGAAGGTGCCGCGCTTGGCCTCCTCGGGGACCGCGTAGTGGACCTGGCGGCTCCCGGTCTCCTGAGGAGCGAAGAGCAGAAGCGAGAGCAGCAAAAACCGGGCTCCCTCGTCACCTGATCCTGAAGCTAACATCATGCCTTGATTCTGGTTAGTAAATCAACATTTCGCGAGTAGAAAGGCGTAGTCCTTTTGAGATATTTCTTCCGAGTCTTTATTCCTGAGGTCCCAGATGATCTTAACAATATGGGTGTGCTTGTAGTCTTTAAAGCTCCGGAAAGGTGGAGAATCTTTCTGATCCTGGGAATAATAGTTTTCTTTGTTAAAACAATCCTCTCCTTGGAGAACAACGACATCCCGTGGCTCAAAATGGAAGTACGTTCGCGTTTATACTGGTATTTCTTTGATTTACATTGTTTCTTCTGTGATTCCCTTCATATTGGTCCATGTTTTTCTTTGTGGGCCTTTAATTCTTTATATAGTACTTGTGTGTGACCACTAGATCTTTAATGGTGGGTGTGTCTTATAAATTAGAATTCCAAGAAGAGTTTTATCTTGCATGCTACCACACAACTATATTATCATATATATGAAGATGAAAACTCCATGTTGTAGGTTACTAGTGATACTGGTTTTTTAGACTTTTTAGAAATTGATGATTTTGGAATTAGTTCTTATTAAGTTTACTCCATTGCTAATATTCTATAATTTTCTATTGCTTAATCTTTATACTATGTTAAATTGTTCTAAACATTTAGTCCAGTTGTGTAGAGGGTAACTCAGGATGCAAGTTCTATAAGTTACGTCTTTAACATAATGATATTTCAAATCAGTACTAAGTATGTAAGCTACTTATCAGCTCATCCAAATATTTAATTGCTTTCATGTTAATGAATTTACCAAGTACTGGTTTCTGGAAATACAAGGGATACTCATCTTTGTCTCATTTTAAAGCTTTTTTCCAATTCCTGTGTCTGCTCTGGATGAATGCTGTTGTCTCCACCCTGAAGGACAGTTTAAATTTGCATTGCATCCATTGCTATTTGTAAAGATAACCTCTTTCTAATTAAAAAAAATACACACCACTGAATCAGGAATTCAAGTTATAGTTGCCAGTTTGTTTATACCCATTTTATTCCAGAATTGGCTTAAGGAGAGTGTGGTATAAAGGGTATTCTAAATCCCATTCATTCATTCAATTTTATTTTCCTGTCTTTATCTCAAGTACAAAAAAATACATTGAGATTTTCATAACTGTTATCAATTACAATAAAGTTTATCATGTTGTCTTTTTTAAATAAAAATATTTTAATCATTCTCAAGGCTGTTAAGGAACAACTATTCAATATTTGAAATCTTTCCACTAAGATGGCAGCCATTAGGAAAACCCCAAATTTTTCTACTAACAAAAATATTGTATGTGGATACCCAAGGGAATCTAAGGTTTTATGTAAAAGTGTAGTCTTCACTTGAAACACTTTTTAAAATGCTGATTCAGTGAATCTATGCCAAAGATTTATAATTCAAACTACTTCTAAGAGCAACATATTTGCCCTAAAGAAAAGCAAGAATATTTTAGTACATGAAAGTGAGGAAGGGAGATGGAGAGAGAGATAGAAACATCAATGAGAATCATCATCCCTGCCTCCTGCATGCCCCCTACTGGGGATTGAGGCCACAACCCCCGCCCCCATGTGCCCTGACCAGGAATCAAACCATGACCTCCTGGTTCATGGGTCAATGCTCAACCACTGAGCAACACCAGTCAGATTATTATGCCGCTAGATAAAATCCTAACTTGTTAGGTTAATATTTTTGTGAATACTTGTATTTAGAAAGGAAATATGTTTAAAAGAAGGCAAAATAAAACAAATAGCACTAAATTGATACACATAATTCTATGTTTCATTAATACCTCACATTAAGAGTTATCTTTAGACAAGGCTTTTCTGCAGAAGGAAACACTGATATAAAGGTCTGAAAGAGAGGGCAGATATAAGAAGAAGGAATTCTATACACAAGTTGAAATACTCTGCATAACTTATCATCTATAATCTCTAAAGGTTGGAGACTGGCCATGGAAAATATTAACATTGAAGACAATGCCATTCTTAAATTCCTGCCACAATTCTCTCTATTAGTGTTTCTAAACTTCAATAGAGGTGTCAGTTTTTATTAGAAGCTATTTTTGATGTACATAGAGTAAACATTAAATCTGCATACAGAAAGGAAAAGATAATTGCTAAAAAAAGGGGGGGTCAAGGTGCATTACTATTTGGTAACACTGAAATTAATAAAAAATTTAAAATAAAATTATAGATACTGGGTAACAACCAGTTTTAGAAAGGCATAATTAATAAGATAGTATCGGCCACCATGCAATTTATTTTATTTATTTTGTTTTTTTATTGATTTCAGAGAGAGGGAGGGAGAGAGAGAGAGAGATAGAAACATCAATGATGAGAGAGAATCATTGATCCCTGCCTCCAGCACACCGCCTACTAGGGATTGAGCCTGCAATCAGGGTATGTGCCCTGACCAGAATGAAACCTCCTGGTTCATAGGTCAATGCTCAACCACTGGGCCACACCAGCCAGGCAATGCAATTTAATTGTTTTGCATTTCTGAGTCTTTATCATCCCAACACAACCCTATTTAAGATGACTAGAGAATTATCAAACTAAATTGCATTATGTGATATCAAAGCAGTAAAAAAAACATTCTACAAAGATAATTCCATTTTCTTTTGAAACTTCTAATATTAATTTGGATGAAATGAATCATTTTCAGTCTTCTAAGATAAAATCGATTTTCAAATGCTCTTCATTAGTAAACATAATCATAACTCCGTCCTCAAAGTTGAAGAGCTAATGCTTGAATAATAAGCAATGCCTCATTCTACTAAACAATAGGATACTGGGTAAAATTATATAAATAAATAGGAATCATTTTCTGCTGCTAAAGTAAGTGAGTAATGTACACCGACACAGGTACCACCACTCCAAAATAAAAAATTTTAAAAAATATAAAAGCTTAAAACACAACTTAATTCCATAGATTGGAACAATTTCATGAATGAACTTCCTGTTTTCATGTGGACCTTACTGTTAAGAGTAAAGTATAAACATTGAATATTAAAGGTCTGTTGTGCACTGTAAGTTGTCACGCTGCACATACTCTTTACTTAGGGAACAGAGAGCACCCTTTTACCGGGAAGAAAAGTGATTCGCTCAGTCTTTTTGTTACTGTAACATGGTCGTTTTAAAATTTAGATTTGAAAAGTAAGTAAACTTGTGAATTAAAGTGCTAATCCTACAAACATTTATAACATTAAAAAGTTACAGGCTTATTTTAAAGCCCACAAAAACATTAAATATTTGTAGCAAAAATATAAATAAGTTCAGGATAAATGACATATTTTTTAAATTGAAGTAACCAGCAAAAGTGGATGCAGAGGGTACAATAGACAAAATATAAAATCAACTTTTAAAATAAACTATGCTACAATAGGTATTTCTAGATATATTTCAGGCATTATAGAAATATGCTATACAGACCGAGGATGAAGATATCCCAAGACATGTATTTGACAAGGAAAAGTGGTGAAGTAAAATATCATTCACAAAAAAATATGAAAATTAAAAAGTAATACCCACCTTCCTAGAGTGGTCCCCTCCGATAGACTGTTCTTCCGTTTCCACCTCCGGTACTGGACACGGAGGAAGGCTGGGGCTGAAGGCCATGAGGTCCGTCTTGGGCGGCCCCTCCCCAGAGCACACCCTCTGCCGCCTCTGCTGTGAGTACGACCAGCTGCCCACCGCGCTGGAGCACACCAGCACGGGCTTCCCCGGCCCGCACGCACCCTCCGTGGGCGGCGCAGAGCACCGCAGCGCCAAGTAAATCAGCAGCGAGAGCACCAGCAGGCTGGACACCGCGCAGATGGCGATGATCAGGTACACGTTCACGTCCAACAGCGCTGTCTCAGCGCTCATGGCACCAGAAGACACTCGCAACGAGGTCTTTGGCGCCTGGCTACTGTCCACCAGCGACAGCAGCACGGTGGCCGTGACCGCCAGCGCCGGCTCGCCATGGTCCTTCACCAGCACCAGCAGGCGCTGCCGCGGAGAGTCCGCCTCGTCCAGGGCGCGCGTCGTGCTGATCTCGCCCGTGTACAGCCCCACGCGGAACGGGCTGCGCGCACCACCCGCCGCCGGCAGCAGCTCATACGACAGCCACGCGTTGTAGCCCGAGTCCGCGTCCACCGCGCGCACCTTCGCCACCACCTGGCCCGCGCCCACCGACCGCGACACCAGCTCGCTCACAGCACCGCCCGGGCCGCCTGGAGCCGGAGGCAGCAGCGCGGGCGCGTTGTCGTTCTCGTCCAGCACGAACACCCGCAGCGTCACGGTGCTGCCCAGAGGAGGCTCGCCCGCGTCGCGCGCGCTCACCTGGAACTGCAGCAGCTCCAGCTCCTCGTGGTCCAGAGGCTGCAGCGCGGACACCTGGCCGCTCCCCGCGTGCACCGACACGTAGCTCGACAGCGCGCGCTCGCCCACCCGCCGCTCCACCAGCGAGTAGGACACCCGCGCGTTCTCCTGCGCGTCCGAGTCCCGCGCCGACACCGTGAAGATGTGGCGGCCGGGCGGGTTGTTCTCCTTCACGAACACCGTGTACTCGGGCTGCGCGAACAGCGGCGCGTTGTCGTTCACGTCGGCCACCTCCACCGACACGCTGGCTGTGGCTGACAGCGAAGGCGAACCCCCGTCCCGCGCTGTCACCACCAGCTCATAGTTCGCCACACTCTCGCGGTCCAGGGCGCTGTCCAGGACCAGTGAATAGTAATTCTTGAATGTGGACACCAGCTTGAAGGGGACATGGGGTGTTAGGGAGCAGGTCACCTGCCCGTTGGCGCCAGAGTCACGGTCAGACACGCTGACCAAGGCGATGACAGTGCCCAACTGAGCATCCTCTGGCACCGGGAGAGACAGCGAGGTGACAACCACCTCGGGTGAATTGTCATTTTCATCCAGGATTTCCACTAGGACAGTGCAGTGACCAGCCATTGGCGGGTTTCCTTTATCTGTAACATCTACATGTATTTCATAAGCGTTACTGTCTTCATAGTCAATAGCATCATT